CTAGTCTGATAGAGCTTGGTGGAACCCCTGAGACTATGGCCCCTATTTGCCCTTCAGGTCTGGAATTGAACCCACTCCTGTGGCTTCCAGACAAATGAAAGACAGACATATGAACTGAACATTTACTTTAGGTAGATACACTCCTTGGCAAAATCAATCATAGGAGAATAGAAGGGCTGTGTATGCACAGGGAGACAGCTCTCAGGGGCAGGAGTGCATGGGAGGGAAGGACACAGGGAAGAGGTAACTATGGGGAGGAAGTGGAAAGAGCTGTTGCATCATGGGAAATTGCAGTCAATGTCATGAGACAGAGTATGTGAACTGCTATATGGAAAATGAATTTGCTCTGTAAACTTTCACCCAAATCACAGTAAGAATTAAAAAAAAAGAGAGACCAGGCTTACCGGTCTGATAGAGACTGGTGAAACTCCTGACTATGGTCCCTAGTCACCCTTTGTGCCTGGAATTGAACTCACTCCCTCAGTTCAACTTCCAGCCAATCAACAGATAGGCCTACAAGGTAAACATTACACCAGGTAGGTAAACTCCTAGGAGCTCTGGTGGCATAGTGTCTAAGGCATTTGACTACTAACTAGAAGGCTGGAGATTCAAACCCACCAGCCACTCCTCGGAAGCAAGATTAAGCAATCTCCTTCCATAGTGATACCACCTCAGAAACCCAAAGAGGGCTTGCTATGAGTTCGATTCGACTAGATGGCAGTGAGTTTGGTTTGGTTTGGAGGTAAACTCCTTAGAACAATTAACAATGGGAGATCAGAAAGGCAGCATTTGCACAGAGAGATAGCTCAGAGGGTAGGAATAACACATAGGAAAGAAGAATATATAGCAACAGGTAACCACAGGGAGGAAGTGGGAAGAGTGCTCTTACATTGTGGGGATTGCCATTAATGTCACAAAACAAAATGTGTATGAACTGTTGAATGGAAAACAAATTTTCCCTGTAAACTTTCATGAAAATCACAGTTAAAAAAAAGAGATTAAAAAACAAATAAAGGAGAGGCTTGCAGCAGGGTGGGGAAGAGTTAAACAGAATAGAAGAGATAGCAATTTAGGATATAAAATGGGAAGAGTTAGTGATGGATTAGATAGGGAGCGTGAAGGAGGAAGTGTCCAGATGACTTCAATTGGATGGGTGGGTAGTGAAGGAGGAAGTGTCCAGATGACTTCAATTGGATGGGTGGGTAGTGCTCCTCTCGGAGATGAGGAGATTGAAAGACCAGATTTGTGACACATAGCTATTCTTTCCTAACAACAAATACATATGATTCTTAGATTTACTGTTTATTTTTTGAATCTGATGTAGATTTTGAATTTTATCTAGTGCCTTTCAATCTGTGGTCATATAATCTTAGGTATTTTTGTCTTCCTGTCTTGTTAATAGGATGGATTATATTAAGAGTTCCCATTTCTAGAAAAATTAACATTTATTATTACCTGTAGTTTTTCATTAGACCTCTGGGATCTAATAATTCTATAATGATACAACTGTCAATGTTTGATCTTCATCTGACAGAGGATACTGCCACTTCATTAATTAATTAGTCCACGTGATGGTGTATTATTATTGTAATGTTGAATTCAATTTGTCCAATAATTTACCAATAAATTAGATTGATACTTCCCACCCTCGCTGGTCCTCTGCTTTTTGTTACTATCTTTATCAGATTTTGATGTCAGAATTACATTTGCTTTCAATTTACAAATTAAGAAATCTTTGGTGATTTGCTTTCATTCTTTCAAAGTTTTAATCAACATGAGCAAAAAATTGTAAGTTAAGGGTGCATTTAACTACTATGATAAATTTCTGGCGGCATCTGGATCTCTACCAAAGTCCGGCCAGCCATAGTTATATGTGTGGGACGACATGGGATGTTTGCTATTAAGTAACAGCATACATACACTACGTCCATTGGGGGCTTAGGGAATCTCGCAGCCACTTAACACTTTGGACTGGACAACCGTCAGGGGAATCTTTTACAAAGCATGCTTCCTAAGTACAAAAAAAAAATCCTGATGTTTCAGATTCTTTCAGGGTAGATTCCATTCCTGTAATACACACACACACATGATTTTTTAAAAATCTAATCTAAATTTCCTTCCCTCCCCAAAGCAGTAAGGCGTAACTGGATCCGCGGCCAGGAGGGAACATATCTTGACCCTACATCTGGAGAATCTTCACGCTCAGGCAGACAAAGGCGGATCGCTTTCCTCTCCCAATTTCGGAATCCCGTCCTAGTAGTTCACAATTTCACGCTTTGAGACGAAGTCTCCTAAAGTTTAGATTTGGGTCCCCTACGAAGTTCCCAGCAGGAGCTCTGATGGCGTAGTGGTTAAAACATTCTGTGCTGACCAAAAGGTATGCAGTTCGAACCCATCAGCAGCTCAGTGGGAGAAAGATGAGCCAGGCTACTTCCGTAAACATTTACAACCTTGAAAACTCTAAGGTGCAGTTCTACGCTGCCCTAAAATGTCGCGAGGAGTTGGAATCGACTTCATGGCAGCGGGTTTGGTTTGGAAGTTCCCAGACTGCTCCCGGGCAGGAAAATTAGGAGGGCCTGGCCCTGTCGCCAGGCGCGGGGCGCGGCAGGCCCGCCCTCCGCGCGCACGGCTCCTCCCCTCGCTCGGATGTGGTTGGGGGGCGGGGGGCAGGAGGAGACTGTGATTGCTGCTGCCCGGGGAAGGCCGGGAGTCTTTTCCACGTTTGCAAACGGCGCCCCGCGCCCAGGTTGGACCCACGCTGCCCGAGTTCCTGCGCTTCCCGCCCGCACCCCGTTCCTCTCGTCGCTGTTCCGAATGGCATTCAGGGCTCCGGGCTGGTGTCCCCCGCCGCCGCCGCTGTTCCTGCTACTGCTCTGGGTGACCGGGCAGGCGGCTCCCGTGGCGGGCCTGGGCCTTGGACCGGACGCGGAGCTGCAGATCGAGCGGCGCTTCGTGCCTGACGAGTGCCCGCGTACTGTGCGCAGTGGCGACTTCGTGCGCTACCACTACGTGGGCACCTTCCCCGACGGCCAGAAGTTCGACTCCAGGTACCACGTCCTTTGCGCTCGGCCCAGCCTCCAAGAGTGCAGCGCCTGCTCTACTGCTTCCCGGTCTCCAGACTGGCCTTTCACTCCCAACGGACCTCCCTCAGCTCCGCCCCGAGAACCTTGCGCTCCTTCTCTCCCTCCTCCCTCTCGGGTTGCTCCCCTCGACCCAAAGCCCCTCAGCCCTGATTGTGAGCCTTCCTGCTGGCCGCGCGCTTCTCTGGAACGCCGGCGTGCCTTTGATGATGAAGTGGGGTTTCCTCCTTCCTTTGCTGATGATACTGTGAAGAAGACAATGATAGCAGCAACTTGCATTTATTGAGCTATTAGAATCTGCCCGGCGTAATTCTCAATGCTTTTATTCGTTGCTGTAGAGTCAATTCTGACTCATGTTTTACAAGATTAGAATTGTTCCATAGGATTTCCTTGGATTGAGTTTAATCTTCACAGAAGCAGACTGCCAGGCCTTTATTTCCAACCACCGACTTTCCAGTTAGTACTACAGCCCAGATTGTTTGTGCCACTCTGAATGCTTTACATATCATTAATTCATTTACTTTTTACAGCAATCCTATGAGGTAGTACTGTCATTACCCCATTTTACCAGTGAGATAACTCAGCCAGGGAGGCTGAAAAAAACTTGTTTGAGCGGTGGGGTCACATTCTAACCCAAGATTCTAACCCAAGATAGTTCGAGTCCAGAATCTAAGGGTAACCATCACGTTATAGGGCCCTCCCACTCAAGCTAAGGCAGAAAACCTACTGAAAGGAGAGAAGCTCTCTTGGGTAGGAGATGTAGTGCAAAGAATTCACCCACCTTTGTCAGGGTGCCCTGCACCAGGCCTACACATCATTCCCTTACTCTGCCCCTGCTCTGACTACAACACACCTCCCTAACTTCTCTCCAGTTTAGCTTTAGGGTAAAGCAGCCCATTTAAGCCCTCTTTTCTTAGAGCTCTAGGCCTCTCCTCCCAAGACTTGTTTGAGTCCCTAGTTTGTGCTACAGAAATGCACATTTCTTTTGTGTCTATGCATCTAGGAGTGGAATTGCTGGGTCACATGTTAACTTTTTGTTTAACCTTTTGAGGAATTGCCAGACTGTCTTCCAAAGTGGCTATACCACTTTACCTTCTTACCAGCAATGTATGAGGGTTCCAGTTTTTTACCGAGTGGCCAACACTTGTCTTTTTTTTTAATTCCAGCCATTCTAGTGGAATGAAGTGGTGTTTCATTGTGGTTTTGATGGCAGTGGGAACGAATAATGATGTTGAACATCTTTTTGTGTGTGTATTGCCCAGCTGTATATCTTCTTTCAGTTGCTTCTTTAGGTAGAAAATAGGGAAGATTTTTTTGCTGCTGATGGTAATTAACAGTACCCACGAGAACAAATTGTCTACTATTTTCTATTCTCTAAGGATGGCATCCACTGTGAGGGAATGAGTGACAATGGAAAGTGCACAGAGGAACTACTCCCTTCAGCAAACATTTATGCAGAGTTTACCCTTGAAGACTTGTACCCTTCCTGTACTTGTAGCTTACAGCCTGGGCAACTGCAGCATAGTGTGAGAAGTATACTAAGAATAACAACATACACTTAGAGAACATTTATTATGTGCTTTTAAGTATCTTAATTCATTTCACCATACAAAATAGTGATGCAGGTGCCTCCTTACTGATAAAGAATCTGAGGCTCAGAAAGTTCCAATAACTTGCCCAAAGTACTACTTAAGTTATGAAGTGGGGATTTGCACCCAGACAGTTTAGTGACATAATCTACAATTGATGGTATGTAATCGATCCACATATGTGACGGAAGAAAGGGAAGAAGCTATGGAAACACACAGAAAATTTAACTTTATGTAGTGTGTGTCAGAGTGGCATGGGGAGGATTGTCAGGATGGACTCTCCGGAATCCTAAGCAAGTAGAGTGCTAGGATAAGCCCTGAAATTTACTAGGGAGGAACTGAGGGATGTGGGCTGTGGGGAGAAGAAGGGGTGTGGCTGGTGGAGGGGGGAGCATATGCAGAGCCTCTGGTGGTGCTGTGGTTAAGGCATTGGGCTGCTAACCGTAAAGAACGGTGCTTAGAACCCACCAGCCACTCTGGGAGAAAGATGAGGCAATCTGCTTCTATAAAAAGATTCATAGCATTGGAAACCCCATGGGGGTCACTATGAGTTGGAATTGACTTGATGGCAGTGAGTTTGGGTTTTTTTAATTTAATTATTATTATTATTATTATTGGAGGTTTGTTAGGGGAAGTGAAAGCTGTTCAGTATGGTCAAGCTTGGGGTGGGAATGGGGAAGTGACCGAGGACAAAAGGAGAGATGAAAGGAGACCAGAGAGGAAGGCTGGGACCAACTTTTAAGAAATCTTGTCTGTCTGGCTGTGGAGTTTGGCCTTTTGTCTAAAGATAATGGAAGCCACTTTAATCAGGAGAGGGAGTGGTCAGGCTTGCATTTTACAAAGGTCCCTGTGGCTTTGAAGTGGATAATGGTGTGCAGGGAAGTGGGTCTGTAGACTATGCAGGTCTCCTGAGAGCTGGTGGTGTCCTGCCCTGGAGTAGTGGCAGAGGCCAAGGAAAGGTAGTTTTTTAGGATTTAGATCTGGTGATTCGCTGGCTGGGAGGCAATTATGGAGAAGTCAAGGGCCACACCAAGCCTGGTCTGGCTATCTGAGTCCCTGAGTAGACTGTGGAGCTATAAACAAGGTGGGGACAGAGGAGGTGGTGTGGAAGGAGTTCAGCTTTGGCCATTGGGAGTTTCAGTGCTATGGGTCCCCAGACACCTAGTAGGTTGTGGGTTTGGCACTAGGGAATGAGATTTGACTGGAGATGAGGATTTGGGAGGCTGGTGCATGATTATGGGGCCGTGAATGATATATATACAGGTGAGAAGAGAAGAGCGCTGCTGTGGACGGAGCCCCTGGACCCCAGATATCTAGGGCCAAGTAGAGGAGAAGGCATGGCCAAAGGATTGGACATGAAAGCCATTGAGTGTGGTGTCTCATAGGCCAGGGGTATGTTGTTGTTGTTGTTGTTGTTATGTGCCGTCGAGTCGGCCCCAACTCATAGCGACCCCTCCTTGGGTTTCCGAGGCAGTATCACTACGGAAGTAGGATTGCCCAACCTTCCTTCCGAGGAGTGGCTGATGGGTTTGAACCGCCAGCCGTCTGGTTAGCAGGCAAGTGTCTTAGCCACTTATGCTACCAGAGTTACCACTTAGTAATAACAGTAAATGGGAAAACACTGCTGAGAGGTGGAGTAAGACAGACAAGCATGTTGGAGTTCGTGTGGATTTGACAAGGAGGAGGTCTCTGGTAACATTGGTGGGAATCATTTTGGTGAAATCTGGGATCCAGTTGGAGTCAGAAGAGGCATTGAGTTGAGGTGAAGGTGCGGAAGTGTGGACAATTCAAGAAGTTTGGTTGTGAAAGGAAGGACAGAGATAAGGCAGTAACTGGAGGGGGATATTTGGTCCAAGATGAATTATTTGTTTTCATTTTGTTTGTTTTTAATGATGGAGGAACCTGAGCATGATTAGTATCAGAGAAGGATCTAGTGAGGAAGATAGAGGTTAAAGATAGAAAAAAGGGGAGGGGGACCCTGAAGAGCCAGGAAGAGGTGCAATCCAATGGATAGATGGGGGCTTAGCCTCAGCCAGTTTTGTATCAAGGGAAGAGGATAAGTGGTGAGTACAATGCAAGTAAATTTTCAAGTGCGGTGGTGACAGGCAGTTTAGGAAGTTCCCATCAGACGGTTTGGTTTCCCCCAGGTGACCTTGGCCTCGTTATTTAACCAGTCTTTTCACCAGTAGACTGAAGTTTACATTTCCCCAGTGAGGTTTGGCCAGGATTAGGAGAGAATGAGAAAATAGTTATACTAAGCATTTGTACTAGCATCTGCAACACAACGAGATCCTTTGTACACCTCTAAGTGTATATGGCAGGATTGGCAGTCCTTTAGACAGCTTTTGAGATGGGCTTATGCCAAAGAAAAAAATGTACTAGACAATGTTAAATTAGACTTTATTTAAAAGGATTATTGTAAGGGAAGGAGTTCTGATGGCGTAGTGCCTAAGGCATTTGACTACTAACCAGAAGGCTGGTGGTTCAAACCCACCAGCCACTCCTCGGAAGGAAGGTTGGGCAATCTACTGTAGAGATACTGCCTTGGAAACCCAAGGAGGGGTAGCTATGAGTGAAATCAACTTGGTACATAACAACAACACTGTAAGAGAGAAGACTAAAGGAAGGGTGGGAAGAAACACAATAGGAGGAGGGTTACTACTGCAGTGGGGAGAAAGACCAGCTCCTACCCCCTGGGACAAAGAACTATAAGGTTTATAAAAGAAAATAAGGGGAGTTAGTCACTGGGATGGGTGAATACTTTACAGAGCTCAAAATTATGGCCAATAATGTTTTATTTTCTTTTGAAAAGGCCACCTGGATCCTGAGGGACCACTGGGGAGAGAGATGAGAGATTACACCTACTCATTTATCAGTCTGGTTAGGTGACAAAGACCAAGTGATTATGCAAACTTGGTGCTATGCTAGGAGGTAGAGGATGCATAGGCAGCCTGGCCCCAGGCCCTTGGGACTGCTGTACCTCTGGCACAGCTATTTTCTGGACCCCAGGGCTCTGCCATGGGGGCTGGCACTTGAGTGGACCTGGGCCCTGAGGCTGGCTGGGCTAGAGGCACAGTTAGCAGCTCTGAGGCTCAGGCAACCAGTGGAGATTGGCGGGGGTGGGAGTGAGTGGGTGTCAAGATGGTCAGTGAGAGTTGCTGCCCATGCCATGCCCCCCTTCACCTGCCACCAATTCCCCACCCATAGCACCCAGCTGCCTTCTGCCACCCCAATGGCCGAGGATGATCTCATGGAAGCAAGTAAGCGAGCAATATCGTGTGCTGGTCTAGGAGGGCTTGGAATCCTGAGCCAAGAGCCTAGTGACTCACAGGTGCTTTGAATAGGAGTTCAACAACAACCTGGGTGGTGGAGGAGGGA